GACCGAGGCCACCTGAATGGGAGCGGCTGCCGGGCGGCACATAGAGGAGCCGGGCCATGCATTTCTCAGTTCCTTTATATGCCACCCGGCCGCCCCTCCTATCATCTCCTGCATGCCCTGGGATCCTATATGCTCCCCCCTCAGTTGCTCCCCTCCTCATCTCCTGCAGCGCTGCTGGGGATCTGTTGGCATATTCTGTCCCCAGTGCTGACACGTCCCCCCCCACCTGCCACAGACGGGAGAGGAGAGAGAAAGCTGGTTCTGCCCCTCCTCCTCCCACCCTCTCTTCCTGTGACTGCTCCGCCCACACTCCTCTCCAGCCTTGTGGTTTCTCTGCCCCCTTCTTCTTTCTTTATTTCCCTTCTTCCTTCTTTCCCTCCTTCCATCTTCCCTCCTTCTTTTCTTCCTTTCGTCTTTCCCTTCCTACTTCATTCCCTTTCTTTCCCTTCTTCCCCTCCTTTCTCTCCTCCTTCCTTCTCTCCCTCCTTTCCCTCTTTCTAGCCTTCCTTCATTCCCTTTTTCTTCTTCTTTCCCTCTTTTTTCCCTTCTTCTCTTCTTTCTTTCCCTCCTTTCCTTTCTTCCCTCTTTCTTTCCCCTTTTACCCTCCTTCCTTCTCTCCCTCCTCCTCCCATTTCTTTCCTTCCTTCTTCCTTTTTGCCTTCTTTCCCTCCTTCCCTCTTTCCCTTCTTCATTCTTTCCTTCCCTTCTTCCTTCTTTCCTTTCTTCTTTCCCTCCTTCCTTTCCCTCCTTCCCCTTCTTTCCCTCATTCCTCCTCTCTTTTTTCTCCCCCCCCCCATTTCTTTCCTATTATTCTTCTTTCCCTTCTTCATTCTTTCCTTCATTCATTCCCTCTTTCTTTCCCTCCTTCATTCTTTCCTTGCTTTTCCTTCTATCTTGCCCTTTTCCTCCCCTCTTTATTCCCTTCCTTCCTTCTTTCCCTTCTTCCCCTCCCTCCTTCTAGCCCTCTTTTCTTCTTTCCTTCCTTCCTTCTTTCCTTCAATCCCTCCTTCCTTCCATCAGTCCTTCTTTGTTTCTTTCTTTCTCTCTACCCCCGTTTTCTTTTTCTTTATTTCTCTATCTCTGTTTCTGTTTTCTCTCCTTTCTTTCTCCTTTTTTTATCTTTATTACCCTCCTTCCCTCTTTCTTTCCCTTCTTTCCCTCCTCCCTTTCTTTCCCTTCTTTATTCTTTCCTGCCCTCTTTCTTTCCCTCTTCTTCTTTCCCTCCTATTTTCATTCCCTCCATCCTTCTGTCCCTCCTTCCTTCTTTCCCTCTTTCATTCTCTCCTTCCTTCATTCTTTCCCTCCTTTCTTTCTGCCGTCCTTTTTTTCCCTCCTTCCTTCTTTTCCTTCTCTCCTTCCTTTTTTCCCTTTTTTTTTTTTTACCTCCTCCCTTCCTTCCGCCCTTCATTTTTTCCCTCCTTCCTTCTTCCCTCCTTTATTTCCCCTCTTTCCTTCTTTCCCTCCTTTCTTCTCTCTTTCCTTGCTTTCCTCCTTCCTTCCTAAAAAAAAAATGTTAAAAAAATAATAAAATATAAAATTGTAAGAAAAAATTAAATAAAAATAAAAACCTACTGACACTAGTGGCGGAACTACCAGGGTCACAAAGGTCACTCTTGCAACCGGGCCCTGGCATTTTGCCACCCGACTCTTAGGAAAGGGTCCCTGGGCTTGGGGTTTCTCAGTCCAAAATGCCCAGGCCTATTTTTTGTCTCAGTCCAGGTCTGGTAACAGCATTTGACCAATGGCAAGATGACAGTATACAGTAGATCTGCATGCATTAGTAACTTTGCTGTGATTCCCTATTTTTTTATTCACATCCATTAATAAGAGCAGTCCAGGGCTTTATGTATATTTTATGTGGCTATGGCAGTACAAAACTGGGGGCAACCATTCAGAATTCCTGGCTTCATTCCCATTTGGTGTCTTAGGATCGTAGACAGAATTGCTGCAATTCTGCCTGTGATCTTAAATTGCAGTGCTATTGCAAAATGCATATATTCATGGCACGTGGTGCAGTTTTGCCATGATTATCGCACGTTAGGCCTCATTTACAGCATACGTGCAGAAAAGCTGATGCGTAGATTTCACTGCAGTGAGTTTTGTACACATTGCAGATTCCTGAGCAGAAAAAAATCTGCAGGTGATACCAGTGTTGTGGTGTGAATAGGACATATAGAGAACTATTGATTTCATTGTGTCCTTGCAGAAAGACTGATGTCTCTGTACCATGGTGTGAACGAACCCTAAATGACAAGGCAAACCGCAATGCGCAAATTGTCACCCAAAAGAAGCCCCTGCTCCTTTTTGGGTGACAAGCTTCACGAGTTGCAGTTTGCCGCAGTTATTGTATGGTAATCACGGCAAACCGCAACGCATGAAGCTTGTCACCCAAAAGAAGCTCCTGCTCCTTTTTTGGGTGACAAGCTTCACACATTGTGGTTTGCCACGTTTACCAAGCTATATCGTTACAAAACCGCTTTTCAGTTTTCAGTGCCATTGAAAATTAATGGCCCTTGAACAGTCAATTTGCGATTGCAGTGCGACATGAGATTGCGTGCAGAATTGCTGCGATTCTGCCCACAATCCCAAAATGTCAAATGTGAATGGAGCCTTTTTTCATAAGTTAAGTGCAGTCAGGTCAACGAAGATTGATTTCTGATTAAGCTATGGGATACTGCACTTTGATTTTTTCTGGACTATATAGCTTGATCTGTGAATGCATTATATAAATACCTTAAAACTTCACAAAGAGTCCACAATGTAGAAATCAGTTGATTTATTATTGATCCACCTCTAAGCATTTATTATATAATATTACAAGCATAATTTTTCTAAGTCCTCTTTAGAAATTGTTTAGCATCTCTTCCTCCAAAAACTGTTTTTTTTCCCATACCAGCCAGACAGTACCAACTGTCATTTCTAAAGTCCAGGATTGAATATGAAAGAATGATTCAGACTGGTTGCTATGGTCAACAATACATTTTTTTCTATTGCACATTTATTATAATCCCTACTATATTAAAATCAAGCTTATGTAACTATACTGAGCTGTGCTGAAATATAGCCTCACACATTTTGTGTAAAGCCTAAGATTCATTTGGCTGGAATTCTTTGTAGAGTTCACATATTGGGATGTGTTCTCTGATGATTATGTCCCGTTTCACATGGGCAGATCCCATTCTAATCATCAGGGGACCTTTGAGTTGATCCCCTGCTGATCAGAGCTGAAGAGGACAGGTGTTACATTTGTGTCCACTGAGTTTATGCAGTTTATACAGAAAGACCTCACTCCACTCTGTGGGTGGCTTGGTGTAAAAGGACTCAGCTGTCTCTGGTTCAATAAAACAGATAAGGACACAGGGGACCGGGACGTAGACGAGTGTACATGAACACAAGTCTATTTACATCCCCCTGTCCATCGAGATGCATGAACCTTCTGATCAGGTCCACCTGAATACTGACAGGTAGACATGATCGGAACACCCATGTGAAAGGGGCATATAATACATAGTGCAAATGATTGTTAGTACATGACATATTGGGTAACAAATGCATTCATCTACTAAGCATATTCATTCTCCTGTTAGTACATGACAAATCGGGTAACAAATGCATTCATCTACTAAGCATATTAATTCTCCTGTTAGTACATGACAAATCGGGTAACAAATGCATTCATCTACTAAGCATATTAATTCTCCAGTTCAAAACCAGTTCTGGTTACCTTGACAGTATGCAGGCAAAAACACTGACTCCATTGGTATAGGGCAAAGAGGACATCTCATTGCTTCATCCAAGTTGTACATTCTGTTCTATTAGCACAATTTTCTAACAGTACCTAAGGAGTAATTTAAATTAAATGACCTTTTGCCTTATGAAAGGGTGCAGTGCACTTCTTAAAATGTGAATTTGCCTTAGTACTCCCAGTGCCTGTAGACTCATAGTTGGATATCTGCAATATGGGATCATCTACAGAAAACCACACATAATGCTGTCTCTGAGCACAGCCTTTCACACAAGGTTTGGACCAATATTTGGTGACGTCTCTGCACTTTTTATTTGCTCTTATGAGGACCTAATGGTGGTGAAGCAGTACGTAAGGATCTGCAGTGCAAGGATCTCCCTGTTCCTGCTACATTCATTTTGCGGATCTTTACTTTCTCCAGCTCTCCTGCCATCTACTAATGTCTCCCCCTCTTTTACTGCTGCTGTCTGTGGATCTGTGGCTCCTCAATCTTTCCTACTGCTTGTTGTCATTACCCCACACCAGTCATCAGTTCACAATTCATTAGATCATGAGTCATGAGGGAATGGGGGAACATGTCTGACATGAAAAAACAAAGCCTTGGTTCTGTATTTAGGTGGCTTCTGCCACGCAGAAACAGTGTGGAACAAGTCATGGTGAGTCAGTCCTGGGGAAAATATCAGCTGCATGGAGCCATCTAGCAATAGCAGCGACTAGTCCTTAGGCCTTCAGCTCTCTTTTTGGGCACAGCTTTAGGTCCACTTTAACAAAATCAGGTCAGTAAAAGGTCAGGTCAAAAGGGTCAGTAAATTTTCTGTGGTTTGATATCCTTTTTTCCTTCTCTCACCGCTTGGAAAATTAAATAAGTATGGGTGTTTTGCACTTACAGCATAACAAAAAAAATAAAGTAAAAGAAGATCCAGATCATTGATCTCCAAATATTGGATTAAGACACGTGGTTCTCCTCCCTTTGGTTAATGTTTTTGGGATCCTCTCTCCAGTCACAGACTTTTTTTTTAACTTCTGTTTTTTTTTTTTACGTAACTTGCCATTACTTATATAGGTTCATGGGATGACAAATGTTGAATATACCTTGTTGATACAATGATATTTAGTACCTTTTGTTACAAAATATTTTATAATTATAAATGTTATTTTTTTTCCCACCCACCATTATGCCCTTTGACATTTTTTTAGCATTGCTTTGATGTTGTCCATTTATGAAAAATATGACTTCATCCATAAAGCTTCATCCTCAGTCGTCGTCATCATCATCAATAATAACTAAACCGTTGTCTTCACAATACTGATTGTAATTAAAGAGCTCTATTGGAAAAGGCACATCCATCCATTTTTTACAGGGTTTACGCTCCTCTGGAGTTTCTATTATAAAATTCCTAATGCTGATAATCGGAAGACGCACTCCTTTGTAGATCATAATAAAGCCCCAGTTCAGCTGAAAGAAAGAAAGCATCAGCTTAATGGATTGTGTGAGTAAACATATAGAAAGGCAACAGTGCTGCCAATAGCTTTATGCATATTAAAGCAGAAACCAAAAGTGATCCAGTGAAGAGAGCTTTATTATTATTATTACAATACAAGATTTATATAGCGCAGACAGTTTGCACAACACTTTACAACTCATGAGCAGACAGTACAGTTACAATACAATTCAATAAAGGAGGAATTAATGGGCCCTGCTTGTTAGAGCTTACAATTTAAAAGGGAAGGTCAAGTGACACAAAAGGTAATAACTCTGACTGAAGAGCTGATGGGGAAAGTGAAAGTACAGCTGTTAGATGGGGGCAGGGTAGGCTTCTCTGAAGAGAAGGGTTTTCAGGGATTGCCTAAAAATGGAGATAGTCAGGCAGATTGGGATAGGGAGCTCCATAGGATAGGAGAGACATGGGAGAAGTTCTGGAGGCAAGCATAGGAGGAGGTGACAAGGGAGATAGAGAGCATGGAGTTTTTGGTTGATGTTTTTAGACTAGATTAGTGATGTAGCTGGGGCAGAGTTGTGGATGGCTTGCGATTTATTGTTAGTATTTTGAATTTTTTTTAAAGGTTTTTATTGCCATATGTAATGTAATGGATGGTACAAAAAAACAATATACAGGTGGCATATTCCAACACATACATTATACAATGCACAGCAGGATTACAATTCAATACCAGCACCCATAATAAACATGTTTCATACTATGCCTACATCACACTTCCAAAATAGAAAGGAAAAGGGACCTCAGCCAATGCAGCATAGTACTGTTACTAACATCACATATAGCTTTTCTATAAAGAACAGAACAGAAAACAAATTAAAAAAAATAAAAAAAAACAGACAAAAGATTCAAAATCATTCTGAAGTGTACCAAAGCCCATCCCATCCCATCCATGCATCAAAAAAACAATACCAGAGCCACCACTTGCACAGGAGTTTACATCTAAAAAAAATGATTCCCTTACAGGCTTTCTACCACCATGTCTGATGAAGTCTGAGTCTGATGGGGGCACCCCCGAGCCTCATATGTCATCCCATATAATGGAATGTCCTAATTTATCAGTTTTTTCCATGCTGCTAAACCAAGAGTTTCAATGCTATCAGCTTCTGCACATAAAAGAACAGAAGCCTCAGAAAAAGCTTAGTAGCATTGTCTATAAGGTCATCCTCAGTACTGAATTTAATTAAGTGAGTGGCAGCCAATGGAGGGATTGGCAGAGAGAGGTAGCAGATACTGAACAGTTGGTAAGGTAGATGAGTCTGGCAGCAGCATGTATGATGGACTGAAAGGGAGATGTTAAGATAATCCAATGAGAAGGGAGTTACAGTAGTCGAGGCAAACAGAGAGTGAATTGTGAATGAAACTTCGTGGTGTCATTGGTTAGGAAGGGGCGTACTTTGGAGATGTTGCGGAGGCTAAAGCATCAAGCTTTGCACATTGTGTGGATGTGGGCCGAAAAGAGAGTTCAGAGCCCAGGATAACACCTAGTACCCTGGCATGTGGAGACGGGTTGATTGTTGTGCCATTGATCTCGACAGAGAAGTCAGGGGAAGGAGCGGGGGGGGGGGGGGGGGGAATATTATGAGCTTGGTTTTAGATTGAATGAGTTTGAGGAAGTGGTGTGTGACATCCAGACTGATATGTCTGTCAGTAAATTAGTGATGCGTGGGGAGAGTGATGTTGTGAGCTGAAGGGTAGAGAGATATATTTGGGTGTCATCAGTATAAAAATGGTATTGAATGCCATGGGAGGTTATCAGTTGACCCAGGGAGGAGGTGTAGATCAACAATAGGAGAGGTCCAAGAACAGAACCTTGGGGAACCCAACAGAAAATGGAAAAAAATGGAAGAGGAAAGGAGGAAGTAGAATTGTAATTAACACTGAAGGTGTGGTGGTCTAAGTAGGATGAGAACCAAAAAAAAGAGTACAGTCACAGAGACCAAAGGAGTAGAGTTTTTTTGGGGAGGAGGTGGTCAATCGTATTGAGGTCTAGAAGTAGGAATACAGAATAGTGTACATTGGTTTTAGCTGTTAGTAGATTGTTAGTGGGTCGTAGGAGAGCAGTTTCCCTGGAGTGTTGAGGGTGAAATCCAGACTGAAGGGGACCAAGAAGGTAATTCTCAATGATGCCATCACTCAGCTGGTTGTAGACCAGATGTTCAAGGAGTTTGGAGGAAAGGGGGAGCAAGGAGATGGGGCATAGGTTATTAGGAATAGTTGGGACCAATGAAGGCTTTTCAAGTATGCATAGTGCATGTTTTAGAGAGTTGAGAAGATGCCGGAAGAGATTGAAGATGTGAGTTTGAGATTGTAGGATAGAGCCAGAGGGTGACTGGAGTATTTGAGAAGGAACAGGGGTCAGGTGGTTAAGTGGGTGTTGGAAAAATGTTTAGTAACCTGAGGGAGTACTGAGCGTACCTGTGGACAGGGGTTGTCAATGTTGAATTATAGGCAAAACTTTTTTTCATTTTGGATAGAGAAAGGGAGGGTTAGAACCCCTTTCAGATTTTTTTTTGCCATCTGCGTCCTGTTGCAGAGATTTCCCTTCACTTCCTGTCCTCTAGCCAAACAGGAAGTGAAGGGAAAATCCTGCAAATTAGGGGATTCATTGGGGGCCCCCAGGTCACCAGTACAAGTGTCCCTATTGGAAGATTTTCTCTCTATTACTTTTCTGGGGACAACCCAAAACTTGAAATTTTCATTTACTTTCACTTTCAATGATAATGGTAAACCGGACAAATAGAGAGGGTGAATCTCCCTAACGAGGGCACATAGGGCAATAAACCTTGACTGGGGTTCTAATCTCTCTCCACTCTACCCAAAAATAAAAAAAAGTTTTGCCTTTAGTTATACTTTAAGTGGGGGAGGTATCCGTACAGTGAAGATCTCTTCACAAATTGTATCAATCTTATTTTTTAAGTGATTGGCGATCTCCTGGGCAGTGAGTCAGTCAGTAAGTGGAGGCAGTGGAAGACTAAGTAGAGAAAAGTTGATGGGGACCGGATGAGAAGATGTTAATGAGTGATAAAATAGGTCTGCTTGGCAGTGAGGATGCAGGAATTGTGTTTTTGGAGGGCAGATTTACATTGGTCGAAGTAATTTGGAGACTTAGTCTTACGTCACAGGCACTCAAGAGGGCAGCTACATTTTTTGAGACTTCTGGTGTCATCTGTTTGCTAAGGCTGTAGTGGTCGGGCCTGGTTCTGCATGTAGTAAGGGGGAAAGCTTGTCTAGGAAGGATCTCAGTGAACTGCTGTACACAGAAGTGGCTAGGTTGGGGTAGGACGGGTGAGATTTTGTCATAGACATGGCCAGTAGCAGAATAGAGAAGAAAAGGGTTAAAGTGCATGGTAATACTAGTAATAGGTAGTACTGGTAATTGTTAAGCAGTTGAAGGGAGAGGTAGTGGAAGACTGGGAGAGAGAGTGAATTAATCAGGTGGTGATCTGAGAGAGGAAAATGGTTGTTGGAGAAGTTTCCCAGAGTTCATAGGTAGGAGAATACAAGGTCAAGGGTGTTGCCATCATAGTGAGTAGAAGCATGTATTCATTGCTTCAGGTCAAAAAAGTAAGTTAGACTTGAACGTTTAGAAGTAGCAGGGGTGTTACAATTAACTGGCATGTTAAAGTCACCAAGAATGATTGTGGGAATTTCACAGAAGAGATAGTAGGGTAGCCAGGCAGATAAGTTATCAAGAAAGGTTGATAGTGGTCCAGGGGGCTGGTAGCTCACAGCAATTCTTAAAGAAATTGGAGTAAATGGATATATACTCTGAGCTTCAAATGATGAGAGGAACAAAGAGGGAGGACAGTGTAGAACCTGAAAGGTGCTTTGTGAGTATAGGAGGAATCCCATTCCACCTCCTTTCCGTCCACTGGGTCTGGAAGAGCAAGTCCAGAGAAGGCAACCATGGGAAAGGGAAGCAGTAGAAGCAGAAGTCGGATTCATGAAGCTAGGTTTCAGTAGCAGCAAGTAGATTAAATGAGTTAGTGATAAAGAGGTCATGGACAGAGTTGAGTTTGTTGCAGACAGAGTGGGTGTTCCAAAGGGCACAGGAAAAGGGTAGGCTGGTTTTGGGAAGATGAAGAATATTAACTAAATTGTGTCGATTGTGGCTGCTGCCAGAAGGTGTAGGGTGATGGGTATGTTAGGCACAGTTAAATGATGGCGACCCAGGATTTGGGTATATTTTTCCAGAAGTTAAGAGAAGAAAAAGGGTGAGGGAGGTAATATGGCAATGCAATTTTAATAAAGAGACATGCCTCAGTATCCTGAGGTTTTTTATTAGCATGTGGGTTTAAAATAAGAAGGAGGTGATGAGTGCAGTAATAAGGAGAGGACAGAAGTGACAGTGATATTATACAAATTATGGGGGGTGAAGAAAAAGGGTAAAGGAAACAGAGTATAACCATTTCCATACCGGGCACTTTTACCCCCTTCCCTCCCAGGCCATTTTTCAGCGCTCTCACACACTTTGAATGACAATTGCGCGGTCATACAACATTGTACCCAAACTAAAATTTTAACATTTTCTTCACACAACTAGAGCTTTCTTTTGGTGGTATTTAATCACCGCCAGGGTTTTTATTTTTTGCTAAATTAACAAAAAAAAGACCGAAAATTTTGAAAAAAAAAAACCCCCACGTTTTTCTTGGTTTCTGTTATAAAAGTTTGCAAATAAATAATTGTTCTTCATAAATTTAGGTCAAGATGTATTCTCCTACATGTCTTTGGTAAAAATAACCCAAATTAGGATGTATCTTTTAGTTTGTAGGAAAGTTATAGAGTTCACAAACTATGGTATTGATCTGAATATTGATCAATCCTGAAGTACTGACAGCCAATCTAATTTCTTGAGGTCCAAGAATGTCAGAAGAGTACAGATATCCCCCAAATGACCCCTTTTTGCATAGTAGACAGTCTGACGTACTTCATAAGAGGAATGGCAAGTTTTTTG